TGAAATATATGAGTTTGTATGTAATGTATGAATATAATATACAAGTTTCACTTTTTAAATGGAATTACTGAAATAAATCTACTTTTTCATGATATTCTAATTTTATGACCAGCACCTGTAATAATTGGTCTTTAGAGGATAAGTCTAACTTTGAGCTCTTGGACTTCGTTCCCACTGCAGGTCTTGATGTTTAGTTGTAATTTTTTACTGAAATAGTGTCACCTAATTTAAATATGACCAAAAGAACCCAACCAGAAAAAACAGATGATATAATTAGAGTGGGGAAAACACCAAATAAATTAAGAGTTTGAAAACTCAACTTTAAATTGAGTTAAAACACAACTGCTGATAATGTTTGGACATAAAGCTCTAATCAGGGTTAATGTCGGGACTTAAAAAGTCTAAAAAAGTTTAAAATTTGAAAATCAAAATTTTAGGCCTAAAAAAGTCTTAAAAACGCCCAGATTTTCATCCAAGGTCTTAAATTTAATTTTGTCAAGTCTTCATTTTTTCTACTTTTGATCATTCCTGAGAACCATTGGCTGCATAAATAAAATTAAGAGTCATAATCAGAGGTCGACACTAGGGCTGCTACGATTAATCAATTAATCAACGACTAATCGATTATTAAAATAATCGATGACTAATTTAATAATCGATTAATTGTTTTCTTTCTTTTTTTTTGTTGTTTTTTACTTTGTTTTTCTCTCCAAACTGCTTTGACACCTTCCACTGCCACATCTGCCTTTCTGTCCTTGACCCACATGCACAGTAGTGGTAACTGGGGTAGGCCGTGGACGTCACAAGACATTATACAGACAGGCTCTGGTATCATGGCTACCTACAGAGCTCAAAGTGTGGGATCATTTTAAGAAAATGAAAGAGAAACCTGTGTAATATCTGCAGAGCAGAACTTACCTTCCACAGCAATTATTTTTWGRTAGCATATAGCTAAAATCTAACCATGGTTATATAACAGCAGCTGCATTCTGACGTGATAAGCTGTATGTTTTATATTCAATTAACGTATGATCTGATTAGTCGACTAATCGAATAAATAATCTGTGATTAATCGATTATAAAAATAATCGTTTCTGGCAGCCCTAGTCGACACGATCTGTCTTCATGAAGTGCTAAGTTTGCTACTGGTCATGATTAAACTACTGCAGGCAAAAGTGGCACAGTTTACTTCCATGTTTTTGACCTCTTTGCTGCTACAACCCCCCCTTCATACAGGCGGCTTATTTACCTGCTGAAAAAACAGAAGTTCAGTCATGTCCACTGCTTGTTGTTTAAACGTGGGAAAGTGTGTTTTCAATGAGTCTTGACTTGATATCAGTGATTTTTTTCACTCGGTTGAAAGTGGTTCACAGCAGTCAGAGGCTACATTCACACTGCAGGCAAATCCGATTTTTTTGACCCATCTGACTCAAATCCGATTTTTTTATGACAGTCTGAACGAGACAAATCCGACTTTTTCTAATCCGACCCAGGCCGTTTCAGTATGTGGTTTTAAATCGGATACATATCTGTTGTTTTCAAAGTGACTGCAGTGTG